AACATTCGGTAGCTGGTTCTTCTCACGTGTGGTGGAATATTTACTTGGGCAGGTCACCCTCAGCAAATGGTACCTGTGATCTCAAAAAATCTGTTGGGAAGTCAAAATTTAAATTCAGAAGAAAAAATGGTAATCAAAGGATCTTTAAGAATTTGTCAAGGGCACTTTTTGATTCAATTCAATAAAATAGAAGTTCAAGGAAAATTTGTGTTTCAAATTACACATACGCGGGGAAGAGATGTCTTGTAGAGGATTTGAGTTGTTTTCCCAAAGAAATGTCCATCCTGTACAACAAAATGGGTCCTGCAATATAGCACATTCAGAGAAAAGGATTTCAAAATGTGATAGTTCTAGACTATCATGGGGTGGGTCATGAACCTAACAAAATATCATGAGAAAAGGATAAGAAAAAAGCCATGAAGAGACCAAAGGCTTACGTTGCTGGAAAGTACTGTACACGTTGCTGGGAGAGAAAAGTCATCAATTATTTTGCTCAGGAGTAGGCTTTTAATGTGCCCACTGGTGTAATAATGGCATGACTGTTATGGGTGTAACCCACTGCTTTCCGACTGGATTGAAAGCCACTTCAACAGGAGGGGGCACATGCCAAGTATTGAGAATCTGATCAAAAGCTGGGGCCATCATGGGACTTGGCCAAAGGATGGTGAGGAGTGCTGAGAAATGATGTCTTCTGGACATGATGTGGCCATTGACTCATGAGCTGAGAACTGCTGTGTTTAACTGCATGAGACTTAAGTAAAGTTGAGCCTGTCATCTCGCTAATATGGACGGGGGAGGGTCATGAAGACTCACTCCTATCTGAGGAACTGCTGACAGTTAATGGATGTTTGGGGAGAGGAAATTAATTTACTTTCAGTGGTGTAGCCACTGATAAGTTCCCACACTCCAATAACTAGCCTTACCTCCGTGCTGGTGCAAGCTTAATTAAACTCATAGGGCTATAAAAAAATAAAAGACATAGATTAGGAAAGCTACTTGTGGGTCAGACAGAGAAAAAGGAGAGTAAGAGAAGGCAATGGAGGTGCTGAGTGTATTCAAAATGCATTCTATGCATATGAAAATGTTAAAGAATAAATGTAGAAAATTGTTATAGCTTCACTTTGCAGAGGAATTCTATTATGCCGTTTCTGTGCATGCATGTGATGCAATTTTGTAATATTCACCCTCCTGCTCCATTTCTTGTCTCTGGTACCCCTTTCTCCTTTCTTGTCTCTCCTAGTCCCCAGTCTACCTCCATGTCTTTCCCATAGCCCCTGGATTCCACATGAGAATCCAGGTACTTGCCCACAACAAGATTGACTTATTTCAGGTGACATGATGATCTCTGGTTTCACCTACCAGGAAACAAAAAGGGCCAGTTTATACACCCTTCTCCTCGACGTGATTCCTTAATCTTCCTTGTCTTTAGGCATCCTTAGCATGTATAAGTCTGGTCATGATTTTGTGATGAAATGACTCGGACTGATTAATTTACAGACCACTGATTTTTTTCTTGACATGCCTGGTGAAGGGTGATGCCTGCTTTCTGAATGGTGCCATTTGTCGGTATCTTCTGGAGGGGATAAATGTAGCATGCTCATTTGTTGAAAGTCACAGAAGGGAAAAAGAAAAAAGGGGGTGAACTCTGTCTTCAAGGTCTTGTCTGTGTCCATGAGGGTCAATTCCTCATCGTCAAATAATCTCCCAAAATCCCTTTCTCATAAAACCTTGGGGCTCACAGTTCAGCATGATTTGGAAGGACACAAACATTTAAACAAAAGCATCATGTTGTATTCACATTTAGTATTGTACTGCTCATATCTGCCTTGTATGAGGCTGCAAATGTTTATTTCCTCTACTTTTCTGAGATATTCAAGTGTACATCGTTTAATGTGATATTAGGCAATAATTAAAAACTGCTATTGATATTTGACAATGATAATTGTGTTGCCACATACTTTACAACTCACACTTTTGTCAAAGGATCTGCTTAATTATTAAAATATTTACATTGAGAACCTATTGAAGCTAGTTGCCTTCTTCATGGTTTGAAAAGAATTACATAATTTTCACTCATGTTTTAAGCTGCTGAACTGAAAACAACCTGACCTCTATATCCTAAGAGGTGGGTTTCATTCATCACTTCTCACAACAGCCGCCTCCAAGGCCAAGGTCAACCAGGAGACCATCCAGCAGCTGCTGGAGAATGGCCAGCCTCTCTACTGTATCATGAAATATCCCAACAAGGGCTGAGTGAACAAATGCATACAATGCCATCATGTGCTACGCAGAAATCTAATTTACTTGGATACCACTGCAGATGCCAACAGTCTTTCAGAGGCAGTGTAACACTCCCTGTGTTTTAAAGTGTAGGTGCCATGGTGCTTGGAATCATATCTTGTTCAGCTTTAAATTTGCTTGGATGCTCAGCGAGCACAGACATTCATTTACAGTCAGCTTTCCAAATATGTGGAATCAAATTGCACGGTATCCTTTGCCATGAGAAAAATTCTGTTTTGTTTCACAATTTGGATACCAAATTGTGTATGCAGAAGAAATTGAAGCCCTGGGAGAAGTCATTCCTACAAAGCCAAAATTCAATGATTCTAACAGCCAGTGCTGTGAGAGCTGCTTATGCTACAGTATGTTTTTGAATGAAAATATGTTGTTTAGTGGATACTTCTAGGTTCAAATGCTTTCCTGGGGAATATAATGTTGAGCCAACCTTACAGTGGGGGATACTTATATCACTGTGTGCTTCAGTGTGCGTTTGGCTTCACTGTTAGCAGAATTTGTTATTTAAGAATAGGATTAAAATATACTATCTGTTCATAATAAAACATGATTCTAAAACTATTAGATCTTTAAAAGCTCCTTACTCATGTCTACTTGTCTTTCCGTAATTCTGGTTAGATGCTCACTCAAGGCAACGTGTCAAAAAGCACTTTTGAAATGGCTGTGTACAACACATATTAATTATGAAATTTGAAGAGCTGTCACCAACTCTCAAGTGCCAAATGCAGGTGATCATGCAACAGCATTTAGTGTTGGCTCAGATGACCTTGTATGCCCCATATTTTTGCGCATGCACTGCTTCCCGGATTTAGATCCCTTGATTTAATCTCTGTGTCTAGGTAGCCTTACCACTCCTGTCCCCTTGATATTATACTTTAGTGGAGGGATAGAATGGGAGAGTGGTAGTGGCTTTAGTGGGGATTAGATTGGTCTGTTGGATCACTCTGTAGTTCGTGGGATGGCTGTCATGAGATTACTGAGCCCAGTTGACCCACAGTTCCGCCATCTGTTAATGTGACTAATCATATGCACATCCCAGCATTGCCATGAGAGTAAAGTTGAGTCAATGGACAGCTGAAAAATGCTTAGCTCAGGCCTTGGCACAAAGCACTTAACAAATAAATGGTAAGCATGGTTTTTGTTGTAGATGATCAAGACTGAAATCCCTGAGTTTGATTCATTTAGCAGGCATCTGTTGTTCTAGGTCTTAGAAAATAATGCAGGTAGGCCATAATGCCTTCCTCTGTGTAAAGGTCTCTATATAGCAGAGTCATGGCTAGGGGTTGTCTTACAGTATTCTGAGCTGCACCACAGCCACATATTTTGACTTATGTAATCCAAAGTCCAACGTGGCATTTCTTGGTTAAATATGGCAGACTCTAACTTCTTTTTCTCCCCATATTTAGTTAAAACGGTGGTAAAGGAATATCAATGGACAAACCACAGGCACCAAGAGAAGATGAATGGAGACATAAGCAAATAAAAATATTTCTAGGAGCTTGCAGTGTGAATGCAAGCGAATGAACAGAATAGCTCTTTGCATCATGTGGAGACTGGCAGACTTCACATCACTCTATTATTTTCTCTGTGGTAACCAGACAGCACAATGACTTTGAGAGTCTGGTTACTATGGAAGACAGGGAGAGGTAAAGCTCCAGATTGAGAGAAGGCAACTGACTGGAAGCCTGTCTAATCAGTGCTTTGGCCTCTTGAGTTTTCTGTCCCATCCCATGCATCACACAGGCAGGAGATAAATTTTTTTTTATATACAAAGAGCATCAAACATGAAGATTTTAGTGATAATTAGACATAGTACAGAACAGGGAGGGGTGGAGAATTTAATAGCTTGAGGTAAATGTGTCTCTATCTTCTATTACTTTTTCTATACTTACAGAGGCAAGGGAGATAAAGATGTGTGGATACAGACGTGTGAATGTTGTACCATTTTTACCAGCATATGTAAAGTTGAATTCTGAGTGGCCTAGGTGTATCCACTTGGAATAATGTGTATCCATCGCCTGTCTAAAGAAGTGAAGCATTTTGTTCCATGTGCCCAATATGATTAACCAAGGCAGAAGACTGGTGGATTATCCTCTGCATGAGCAATCTAGTCTCAGGTGTTCTGTTGAAAGAAAGGTGCAACTCATCTTGTCATTCCAGTACAGCAAATCCTACTAAGCAAGTCCCACCCAGGCAACTGGATTGCGAGCCACCCAAGAACAGCCCCTTGTATGTGAGTTTGTGAGGAAGACCAAAGCCATCAGAAAACTTAAGAGGGAATAGAGCAAGGAAGGAGACTGGAAAAATTTTACTAAAGCAGAACTTGGTTTTAATTGATTCAGAGAGAGGTAACAGGTAGTGTATGCATGACAGAAGACTTGAGATGCTATAAAAAAGGAACAGTCACCAAAGATAGATACTTTTTGAAACCAAAACTGTAGTAGCTGAAATAAAATTCCACCATGAAAATTGAAAGAGCAAGTTGAAGAACTTCTAAACAGAAAACAAAACTTGATAAAAGCATTGCCAAACCCTCTCATGGCAAACAGTTCTTTCATATTGCAATCTGTAGTGAATTAATTCCAGTAACTTCCTAGCAGAGAGGCCTGTTTCTCTTTTAAAATGTTTATACGATGTTTTATCAGACACCAAGTTCTGAGTAATTTGTGATGTTTCTTTCCTTCTTATATCATTTCCTAGACGCTCAACCCAAAACTGAAGGTTTCCTGAGCCCTTGAGGTGTTTGGTGACTTTTTCTGTGGTCTGAATGTCCTGCTTCACATCCTTGGAAACCTTATCAGATCTATGTGGAGTTTGGTGTTCCTTAGGTGAACCTGATTTTCAGGTGAGGTATGGACAACCCAGATCTTTAAACGCCTTGGTGTTCAGAATGCCACTTACTTGGAAATACATGCTTACTTAACAGTATGTTTTGTAGCAATTAAGGATCATGGGAGAGTTCTCATTCAGTATTTAAGACATGAATTTTCCGTGGTCTCCTGGAGGATAGAAGGTTTGCATTTTGATTTTCCCTTAGTATGTGCATGGCTCCTGTGGAGTAAGCAATGTGTTTTCCACCTTAGGCTTTGCCTGCCATCTTCTGGGCCCTTTGAATCCTTGAAGACCAAGGTCATCTAGTTGGCAAAGCATTTCAGCAGAGAGTTGGCTTCAGGGCCCTACAAATAATTCAGAGTCTGCCTTTTACTTTGACTTCCTGACTTAAAAAATCAGATCATCACACAGGTCATTTTAGAGTGTATTTAGCATTTTAGGTTCACTGTTTATAGATTAGCAACTAATTTCAAGAATGTAGAATGATGTTACTACAACACCTACACTCAACCCATCCTTGGTAGACAACTTAACTCAGGAAAGTAGTCCAGCTAAAGTTTGTTTGACTATAAGATTTACTGTAGCTCCATAGTAGAGCTTGGAGTCAGGGATGGTGATGCCCGCTTATGACCCTTTATTGTACAAGGTTGTTTTGGCTTTACTGTTTTTTTTTGTTTTTTCCACATGAAGTTGAGTATTGTTCTTTCAAGGTCTGTGAAGAATTGTGCTGGGATTTTGGTGGGGATTGCATTAAATCTGAAGATTGCTTTTGGTAAAATTGCCATTTTTTACTATGTTGATCCTACCTATTCAAAAGCATGGGAGACCTTTTCATTTTCTGATGTCATTTTTAATTTCTTTCTTTAAAGACTTAAAGTTCTTTGTGATACAGGTCTGTCTTAGAGTTAACCCAAGACATTTTACGTTATTTGTAGCTACTGTAAAGGGTGATGTTTCTCTGATTTCTTTCTCAGCCTGTTTATCATCTGTATATAGGAAGGCTACTGAATATTTTTTTTAGTTAATCTTGTATCCTGCTACATTACTATAGGGATAGAGAGTGTCTAATTGGGGGAACTTAAGTATCTACATATTAAAAAGTAAACGGTGCTGCCATCTGTAATCATTTATGTTGTCTCTGAGGCAAGAAGCTGAGAAGATGACATTTTAAGGCCCTTTGAATCCTGTTACCTGCATGGTCATTGCAGGTGGGGGTTGGTGGTTGGAGGAAGGGAGACTTTCATCATGTCTTTTCACCAAATATTTGTGAAGTGAGATTATGAAACTGGTCTGGTTTCTGTCTGTCAATTCCAACTGCCTGCGGTGAAATTTCCAGGTAGTGAGTTTTACTCTGCAGGATACAAATTTCTTTTTCGGGTGATTTTTCTGCTTTCTTAGGCAGCTTTGAAAATCATATACAAAAACGTGTAAAGAATGGTTGCCTCCGTTTGTATCCCTGGGGATTCCCCTTTGGCGTCTCTGTAGATAAGATAGACGACACATCAGAACTAACAAAATCAATTTTCCATTAATAGCTGATAGTGTAGAGACTGTGACGATGAAGAGACAGGGGATGACTTTCCGTATTCAGAAAGGTTCTGTCATTGTCATGAGTCACCAGGGTCTTTTGTAACATGACTGACATGAAAATATGCTCACCAGGAATTATTCATTGATGGAGAATTTAATGTCTGGTGCCTTATTGGTTTCCCAAAATTGTGCACTATGTGGCAGTAGCCCAACCTTTTGGTCACGGACTTCTCAGTGCAAGTTGCAACACTGCTCTCACCTGTGCTTCCCAAACTGATGGTGAAAAGTAATTTGGCATGCATAGAGATCACCATAATCATATAATAAGTATGTGATGAATTTAAATAAGGAAGTAAAATATAATCTTACACTGGTTAGGGAAATAAAAGCCTCTACAGTAGAGCTGTGTATTTTGCAAAAACATTTTTATGTCATTTGATCTGTATCTTAGCCTCCCACGGCATGCAAGACACATGCCTGCCTCTCTTCCGACCTCATGTCTCTCTGCCTCTGTCTTTTCTCACAGTGCCTCCCCCAAGGATTGATGGTTCTTTTCCAGGCCAATGCCTGCTTTCCCTCTGCGTTGGTTTAAGTGAGAGTGGCCCTATAGGTGCATGTGTTTGAATGTGTGATCCACAGTTGATGAAACTGTTTGGGTTGGAGATGTGTCGCTGGGGATGATCTTTGATGCCTTTGTCATGGTGTGTTATTACAGCAATAGAAACCCTAAGTAATATGCCCTCCATTCCTTATATACAAGTATAGTAGTCACTGCTCTCATTGCTGTGACCAAATATCTGCCAAAAAGGAGCGGAAGGGAGTTAGGGTTCGTGGTGGAAGAATACAGTCCATTTTGCAGGATAAGCTTGGCTCTTGCAACTTGTCCGAGAAAGGATTTATTTGGGATTATGGTTTCAGAGGAGTAGGGTCCATGAAGATAGTAGAGCAAAGGAACAACTGATAGCTCAGCTCTTACTCCTCAAGCAGAAGGCAGAGAGAGACCACACGGGGAATATGTGACTCTTCCAAGGCATCAGAGAGCTTTGTTGGTACTCTATCCCAGCAATAGGGATCACAGCTCAGACAAGTGATACTTCAAATCACAACATGAAAAAAATTCAGACCAGTACAGAAACAGTAAATTAAGCATGGACTGCTCTACCATCTTGAATCTACATTCATCAACATTGTGACTTATCCACTGTTTTGAGAAAATGGTACAGAGCAGATAGCTTGCCTGTCCTTTGAGCATCCTTTCTCGTTTTCCCCAGATGAAAATGCCCAGGAGTTTGACCAACCTAGGGACCACCCCCTCTAGGAAGATGCCCTGGCTGTTGAATTTTTGACTCTTGAGCTATCAGCCAGCAGAGGATGATCTGTCCATGTTGACACCCCCCGCTGCATATATTGAATAAAACATCATTGCTGGTCTCTCCCTGGCTAGAAGAAGTGAATTCATTTTTGTGTTCTTTGTGCCTGAACTCAGACCTGGACCCAGAGCCCAGCCCAAGAAATATGCTACAGGAATGAGTAAGGAAATGGACTCTCAGACATGCTGATTTGATTTGTCTGACGTCTCCGTTCCCAGTTGTTTACTGTCATACTTTGCTAAGAGGACGGTGTAGGCTTTGCCCGAATGGAGCTGCAGTGTTATTATGCAAACGTGTACTGGACTGAAGTGTGTCAGGTCACAGAAGCGTGAACTGGCTGCTGTGCCAGTCCTGAGCTGATTTTTGGGGACACTGCGGTGAACGTGAACTTCACACGCTCATGGCATCGCATTCCAGGCATGCACCGGCCTCCTTTTCCCTGGCCAGGTGCAGCCAGATAAGCAGTGCAATAAAAACGATGACAACCACAGGTCAGACTTTCAGTAGATTCTTGACTTGGAGACTATTAATTGGGGTGGGGAGCAAAACGGAAAAAATCTCCAGCTTCATTTTTCTTTTTTGAATTTCCTGTGCAAGTTACATATCCCAAAAAGATGCAAATTAATCAACTATAATGAAAGGTCGGTTCAAATTTCAGTATGATTGTTGGGGAGGAAAAGTGGGCTGAGCTGTTGATCTGCACAGTTAATTGGAACTTGCAGCTAGTTTGTCTATTTATTTATTTATTTATTTATTTAGGGGAAAGAACTTTCTGGGCCTCTTCAGTTATGTGTCTGGCTCATGCCTTTAGGTTTCTGAATGTGAGACAAGCAAGACTAGCCTACAGAGGACTCTCAATATTTTTTAGAGATCACTATCCCCTCCTCTCCTCTGCACACAGACTATTAATTGAGATATTTGAAGAGGTCAGTGAACAACCAGTGGGCTCTAATGTGGTTTATCATGGCCCGTCGTCCATTCCAGGCCATCTCAGGAGGAGGCTGTGGCTTCCCAGGCTAGTGTTGGTTGTGAGTTTCCCATCACTGTTTTAAGCCGACATTTCTGATTTAGGATTATTTTTTCTTTTACAAACTACCTATAACTGATCTGTTTTCCTGCTTTACTATAAAACATACAGAATGAGCCAAAAAGAAAGAAAGGAAAAATGTAATATGAAGAGAAAGTCTAATGTTTTTCTCTCCCCGTGTCATAGGTTATCAGTATTGTTCCTTACCCGTGGTTCATGTGTATCCAACATTGTAGACCACCAAATAAAGGCCATTGAAAGACCTTACAGTGTCCTATTAAAACATGTGACATGAAGAAAGAAAATGGGCTTTACCTCTAAGTGGATTTTTTAGCCAAGCCTTGACTGTGGCTATTCTCCCTAGATAGAGGAATCTCTAAATAGCACTTGCCCACTTCTGACTCTTCTAGATTACCATGTCAGGTTGCTCTCAGACAGTATTAGGGAAGAGGGGAAATAATGAGATACTTAAATTATGATAAAAGGAAAGTAAGAATCTCTAATTAATTTTATTCGTCTGAAGAGATCACAGGAAAGGAAATAAGCACGATGGGGCAGCCAACCAACCAGGCGAGCATCTCACAAATTCTTCAAATGCGAGCAAGATTCCATGATAAGCCCTAACTTTCTGGTAAGCATTTTAATGGGTCCTTTAATTAGCCTTTCTGGAAAGTTCACTGATGAGATGCTGGAATAATGATCCCCCATGCTCTGAAGTGTCTGGGCATTAGCTTGCAAGGTGACTGAACATACTAATGTCTTTGCCTGTGTTCCTAATGGGGTCTTGCCTGCATTTGACTCTTATCAGGAGAAGGACCAGATGACAAGAGCCTTCTCTCTGTCTTCTTCTTTGTTTTCCATTTACCTTCTCTCTCCTCAGTTCCCTTGATTACCCAGCTTCAGAAAAGAGAATTTGGGGGTGGACCCTTCTGGAACATCTTACTACTTCGGCACCTGTTTGGGCTAAACATTTCTAAGCATTCCTGAGACTGGGAACCCATACTGATTTAGTGAATTAATTACATACCTTTACCTTTGAATTAAATTTCATTTTCTTATTTAGTGTGCATTCATGTGCACACACAT